AAACCATGCCTTACGTTTCAGGCAATCTTTCTGATAGTGTCTTGGCTTTTTACAAAAATGACACTTATCGTTCTTTCGTTCCTTCTTGTGGATTTGGACAAGCGACACATTATCTTTCAGTGCTCTTTTCTTGCCCTTTCCATTATACTTTCCTGGTTTCTTTCCAGCTCCTTAATGACCCATGAGATTAATTGAGTGAGTTCCTTATTTCTTAAGTCTTGCTTCCTCTTGAATGAGCATACTTTGTAATTCAGTCACATTCCACTTATCTTTTATAGTATTGTAGTTTATTTGGAATGGACCATATACCAAGAAGGCAAGGAGTTTATAATAAACTACACAAGGAAACTTTCACTCACTTCCATTCTCATATATCTCAATCTTGCTGTTGTGTTTGTCATTTCAGTGACATGCTCATGCATGGTACAAGAACCATCAAACTTCATGGTGGTCAACATACCCATTAATGTCCTTGTAATTGACTTATCAGCAGAGTCAGATTGCGAGAGATCTTCCACAAACTTCATGAACTCCTTTACTTTATCAGTCTTAGGAATTGTGGACTTAATGTTGTTTGCTATCGTCATCCGCATGAACATTAAGCTAAGTCTATTTGATTTTTCCTAAGCATCATGGAAAAATCTTTCATCAGCACTGCTAGAATCAGTTATAGCAGCGGGCTTGTCATACAGGAGTGCTGAATCAAGATTCAAAACACCTAGATGAAACTGAACTTGCTCACTCCATTCATGAAAATTAAGCCCATTGAACTTTACAATAGACGAGGCTTGCGAATGAAGAGAAATAGGTGCTGCAAATATATAGAATACTGGCATATTAATGCTTTGAGTCATAAACTTAAACTTAATAATACATATTTAGATAACATTCAAATTAAACAATAAACGTACATCGAAGTTCTTCTTTAGGTGATCCATCAATGTACAACAATGAACATAATTGATGCTTAGTTTTATTTCATATGAAAACAGGCCCTTTTGCAAAAAAAATCCCCAAAAAAGACCGGTTTTGAAAATATTCGCAAAAAACAACCTAGTTTCAGACCTAAGGCTGAAACTGGGTCGTTTTTTGCGAAAAAAAGTTCCCAAACTTTACGGGAGTTGAACTCCCGTGAAGTTTTATTATGTAAAAAACTTTATGGGAGTTCAACTCTCGTGAAGTTTGGGAACTTTTTTTCATAAAAAACGACCCAGTTTCAGCCCTGAGGTTGAAACTGGGTCGTTTTTTGAAAATAAAGTGAAAACAGGTTTTTTTTTGGAATATTTTTGCAAAGGGGTCTGTTTTCAAATTTTGTCCGGCAATTATATATACTCCAATTAGACATGCTTGCTATCTTTGGATATTCTAAACATATCTAATCAAATATATTAATTAACCACAGTCATGTTTATAGATTATAAAATTTACCAATCAACCTTTGGGCGATTCTTAAATATTTTATAATCAATAAACCTCAATTTACTCATGACAACATATATATATACGTTTATGTCATTTCATTAGTAGCATCACTTAATCATGAGTAATTGAAATTATATTATTACAATTTGATAAGCATGGAACTTCAAGGTATGGCCACTTTGGTGACTAACAAACCATCCATGAAAAATATAAATTTCAAACTGTATAATGTAATCTAGACAATAATGTTATCAATGACATTATAATAATCCCACAAATAGCAGTCCATGAAGATTAATAATCCATGCATAATTAGTGCATTGACATAAACAAAAATATCATGTAGGCTTAATAGACAAACAGGCAGCAACACATGTAGCAAAATTAAAAAAACGAATTAGCAAAAACATCATTAGAAATCAAAGACCCAAGGCCCTAGGCCCATCAAAGACTTTTAATATATGGTGTAGCCCTAGGGGTTTGAACACCAGACCTCTAGGCCAAACCCTTAAGCCTTACCACTAGGCTATTTCCTAAAGTATTTAGTATAATCAAAATATGTATACATAATGAATGGACAGTCATTTTCGAATTTCACAGATCCGAAATTTACAGTGAGTGATTATGTATTCACTTTAAATACGAAATTATCAAACAAAATAATTCAATAATGAGCAAAAAAGTAATTACTTAGTTAATTTTAAATATTTAATTAACAGTAATGGAATTATTTGACATGAAACAAGAATCATGATGGAAAATCATAAGTTCTTTAATCAAGGCTCTGATACCACATGTAAACTTAAGTCTTAAGCAAATCAAATTTCATTTTGATTTAATCATCATTATATCAAGATCTTAGAACATATGATTTTCACCATGAACAATCTAATTAAGAGAGCTTACCTTGATCCATGATTCGAAGTTTGACGAAAATAGACTGCAAAAGAAGCAACGTTGAAGACTTCAATTTCTCTCTCTTTGCCCTCTTAATCTTTTTCGAAATTTCTTGATGGAAAGAAATTTTCACACATATCGGTAGAGAGAGGACCAAGCCTTTTAAATAGATAATTACACACCTTCCATCAACGTGAGTAGTTATCTTGACCAATAGGAATTTAGCATAAAAACAAAATAAAACGTGTGTAGTTATAGTTACATAAACTTACTTAAATGTTTTGAAATGAGCAGTTACATAAAAATTGTGGGAACAAAAACGTGGCCACTAAAAGGTGGATTACAAAACGTGGGCCATAAATCTAACACCTCCTCCACCTATGCTAATTTCTCCTCCGTCTCCTCTCTCTTCCTCTACATCTTCTTCTCCCCTCCTTTCTTCTCCATTTCAATTTCATCTTACTCCCTTCTCTTCCGTTCACACCCTTCTTCCTTTCTCTTTCATTCTATCTCACCCCCCTAACTCCTCCTCTCTCATCTCAATCGTGGTTTGTACAAAGGAGGACGAAGACGGAGGTGAGGGAGAAGAGAGGAGGGTGAAGGTGGTTAGCGCGGGTGAGGAAGGAGAATGGAATTTTGGGCATTTAGGGTAAAAGTTGAACAGAATCAACACGTGGTTAATTGAAGTAAACTCATTTATAAGGTGTTTTTTGTGTAAGAAAAAACTTGAAAGATAGTTTTTATCTATTTGGCCTATTTTATAGGTGGTTTTCATGAAAAAGCCCAAAAAAAATATTGCAATAGTCTTCAAGTAAAATAAAAAAAATTCTCTCTAGTGGATGAAGACAAAACTTCTCTTTGCTTTTGTTTGTCAAGGGATTTCAGATAGTCTGACCGTAATTCCAATAGATGGTATCAGAGTTCTTCTGTTTTCAACACATATTAAGGTAGGGGTGGGCAAAAACCAAAAAAAACCGGTTCAACCGAAAAAACCGCCCGAAAAAACGGACCGGTTAACCGAACCGAATTAAATGGATGGGAAGAAGTCTCTAAACCGCCCGAACCGAATTAAATCGGTTTGGATCCGGTTTGAACCCCTGAACCGCCCAAAAAAAACCGATCCGAATTTTGTTGGGCGGTTTAGAGACTAAACTTATACCTCAAAACTTTTCCTGTTATCATCCAATAGATTCAAACGGCGTAAGGAGCAGTTTCAAGCAATGAGTACAACAATATTACAGAAAAATATCCTTGAGAACTAAGTAAAGATTCAAATCAATCCAGAAAATTTGTTATGCACATGATGCACTTACAAAAGATGCATATGCTACATTATATGAACAATATCATACAAAACATCACTCCCCCGTGTAATTAAATAAACTTAAACTTTCGTTAAAAAAATTCGCAGAAAAGATCTTGAGAATTACATAAGATTCAAATCAATCACAAAATGTGTTAAGTACATGATACTTACAAGAGATAAGATTCAAATCAATCACAAAATGTGTTAAGTACATGATACTTACAAGAGATAAGCATGCTGTATTATATGAACAACATCTTTAAAACATCAGTTCTCTGCGTAATTATATCAACTCAAAACTTTATTCTAAAGATGATAACCAGTCTAATAAAACTTTGTTGGTGAGCTCAGGAACCTCATCATGAGGACAATGCCCAGCTTGCAAATTCACAACAGAAGTCTTTGGATAGAACTCTTTGCAAATTCAAAACCGAAACCGAACCGAACCGAACCGAATTTCGGTTGGGCCGAATATTAGGATGAAGGGGAAAAAATCTGGATCTGGATGAGAGTTTTGAGCATCCGAAAAATTCGGATTGGATGCGGATTGGGCATAAAACCGAACCGAACCGAATATGCCCAGCCCTATATTAAGGCTTCTTCGGCAAATCACTAAAAGTGGGTCATGTTGAAACATGACACACATTTAAAGTATCTTGTATTGAGGAAAAATTAGGCCAATTATGGCGTAGTTTTTCTTAGCTCAATTTTGGCTCGAAAATCAGGATCAAACTGATCTACTCTGTCCCTGAACCAAAAATTAAACTGGTCTAGTTTTATGTTGGGTTGTCAAGTAGAGTCTTAAGGGTGTGCATTTGACAACTCGAAAGTCCTAGTTATAATGGATACAAGCATAATCCAAAACTAAAAATTAGCTTAGTAAAACTAGAGCCTGATTTGGACTAGTTTTTTTTTACTTCAAATTCTAGCTCTTAAATTAGTTCTCCTTTGAACCAGTTGCTATATGGATTAACTCTAGCTTAGTTAAAGCAAAAAACGAATCTAATTTTTGAAATTGACAAACACAACCTTATATATTTAGAACTCGCAGCGGATTTACGGACCAGATATAGCCTACAAACATTCTACAGACCCTTAACCATTTTTCTCAAGGAAATTCAAACGTCCATAAGAAGACAAACACAGAGACACGAGTCATAATAAATCAGAAAGTAGTGGAAACTCCTGGCCCCACATTTTAACCCGGATCCCTCACATTTCTTCACGCGGGATCGGACACTAGAAAAGCTACTCAAAAAACCGCTATCCTATCCCCGTGTTCCCAACTGTACAAAATACACCGGACCAGCTACAATTACGAAGCCGAGAATATCACGTAAACCACCAGCAACGGGACAAAACCCCCCCTCTAAAATCCTGTCACGGGCCAAATCCGCAATTCTCAACAAACAAACCCCCAAAAAAGCTTCAGTTTTTTTTATCAGTACCTACCCCATTAAAATAAAAATTAAAAAAAATCAAATCCTCTTTCTTCCTCAGGTTCTGAGTTCAAGTTCAGGAGAGAAGGCAGCCAACCGTGGAGCCAGTTAAGCTATGGGCACTTCCCTTAACGCGTTCGCCTTGCTCTCTGTCTTGTTCGTATCGGGCCAGTTCATGATGCTGGCTCAAGTGCGGGGAGCAACCAAAGTTGTGCCAGCGGGGGATATATCTAAAGTGGAGGATGCTCAGCTGTTCCACATTTACTACGGCCAGAGCTTCAAGGTCATCAAGAACTCTGTCGATGGAAAGAGTTATCTCCTCCTGCAGGTGATTTTTTTTTTTTTACCACTTAATTCTCTACATTTTTTTTTTTTTTTTTTGCCCTGGCGTCTAATGTTTGGGTGCGAATGGGAACTAGAACAACTCGAGGATGGCGACCCGGACTAAGTACTGCACTGGGAGGATCAAGTCCTTCGTCATCCCTCTTTCCAGCTGCTCCGCTGACACCACATTTTTCCCCGGTATGCGTTGCTACTTCCCTTCTCCTTGTCTTGTACAATCTGGGCTTGATTAGACCCAGCCCATTAAAGTGATAATTACCTTAATCGCGATTGGGGGCGTTTGGTATGATATTAAACTGTTCGGCCTGCTTGAACCTTTCTGTTACCATGCCCATACGATTTGTACTCTGGACCATCTATAAGGCTCGTCGTCACTCTAGTGGGTCCAATATTTAATCAATTCTAAAATTCTAAACCTTAAAAATTTATTCTCTGTTGATAATAGTGTATTGTAGTGGGTTTTAGTCCCACATTGCTTGGGAGAACAAACCTCACACTCCTCTACTTGTATAAATATATGTGCACACTCAATATTCAATTCAAGGGAAATTTACCCAAGATTCTCTCTCTCTCTTACTTTAACATGGTATCAGAGATAGGGCTATTTCCCTTTCAATAAAATTTTTAACGCTTTTGCGTTCTTTTGCCAAATCTTGGCCTTATTGCTTTGCAGCCGTTTAATGTTTTATTATTTTTTTTTTTTAATTATTTGGCGTTCATCTGCCAGATATTTTGGCCTTGTCGTTTTGCGGCCTCTTAACGCGTTTCGCGTTCTCGTTTAACCTTCGGGTTCTATTTTAACGGCATTGTCGTTTCAAGACCGTCTCTCGGTCTCAAATTAACGGCATCGTCGTTTCAAGCCGTCTCTCGGCCTCAAACGAACGACATTAGTAACAGCATCTCGACATCTTAACGTCTCAAGATTGCTGTTATGGCTCCTTCAGAGAAGATTCCCAAACCACCTTTGCCCCTCAATGATCAAAGTGACTGGGCAGGGTGGTCCACCATTGTCACCAATGCCTTGCGTGGCGCTGGTTTGCTTGATCATCTCACCAGTACGGGACCAGTTCCACCGTCCATCAGCACTGTTGCTTCATCCAGTACTATTGCCTCTGGCAGTGGTGATGTCGATCTTCAGACTGCTCGTGCTCTCTATGTCAAGGAGAGTTCAGAGTGGCAATTGCAGGAATTTCGTGTTATGGATTATCTCACTCGCTGTGTTGGCTCTGGTCTCACTGTCGAGATTGGCTCGCTTCCCTCTGCTCAGGCCATGTGGACTCGTCTCACTGAGCGTTTCACTGAGTGCTCGGGTGCACGGGAGGCATATCTTCTGCAACGCATTTCTCTACAACGCAAAGGTAGTTCATCTCTGCAGTCCCATTTTGGACAAATGCAAGCTTTTTGGACAGAGTTACGCTCCATGCTTCCTGGACGTAATTCCACATATGAAGACTGGCTAGCCTGGTACGAACGGCATGAGGTGCATCAATTGTTTCAGTCCCTTCCTGAATATTCAACTATGGCTGATCAACTACTTCACCAGCCTCAATTTCCGACTTTGGCCTCAGTTATGGGAGCTCTCACTGCTTATGAGACCCGGCAGCAGACAGCACGACTCAATTTGTCAACAGACACTCCTACCTCTTCACTCGAGACTGTTTTGTCTGTACCTGTCACTGCTCCTGTTATGAATTATACTTCTCCACAGGCTCCCTCTCCACAGGCTCGATCTAAGCTCTCTTGCAAATATTGTAAGAAGGAAGGACACCGCATTGAGACATGCTTCAAGCTTCATCCTGAGTTACGTTCCTCAGGTACTGGACGTGGTCGGCGACCCCCTCAGTCTCAACCCTCTCGTACACCAGGATTGTTGGCCAATGCTATACCTTCTACTACTTCAGACTCTACTATTCAAGCTATTGAAAGTCTTCGCCGTCAACTTGATGCTTTTCAACATATCACCTCTACATCCGCCGCACAACTCTCTGGTATGCATTTTGCTGGTTCTTCAGCTAATCCTTCAGTCTCTGGTATGAATGATCTCTGGATTTTTGACTCTGGTTGTTCCTTTCATATGACTTGTAATGCCTCACTTTTATCCTCTGTCTTTACTTCATCCTCTCTTCCTCCTATCTACACAGCTGCTGGACAACCATTGTCCATTACTCAGTATGGCTCTATTACCCCACAAAATGATCCATCTGGTCGTCTAACACTTGGTCCCGTCTATGTGGCTCCACAATTGTGCTTGAATTTAATTTCTATTAGCTCTTTATGCATGGCGGGCCTGTTTGTCTCATTTTCTTCTGATACTTGTATTGTGCAGGATCCACAGACGGGCAAGACGGTTGGGGCGGGTCGTAGGAGGCACAAACTGTATTTTCTGGAATATCTTCACCTTCCAGAGTCCATACGTCCACGTTCTCTTGTTGCTTCTCTTTGTTCGTCAAAACCCTCTACCTCGCTTCCTGCCAATTTATGGCATAGACGACTTGGTCATGTGTGTAATAAAAGGCTGGAGAGTCTTATTCAGTCTGGAGTACTTGGTCCTGTATCATCTAGTTCTAGTATTGAGTCATGTGCTGGTTGCAAATTGGCTAAATTCACTGCTTTACCATTTAAAATGAGTACATCTGTATCCACTTCCTTATTTGATTTAGTACATTCTGATATTTGGGGGCCAGCTCCTTTGCCTTCTTCATCTGGCTACTTATATTATGTTAGTTTTATCGACGATTTCTCTCGTTTTACATGGGTTTACCTACTTAAGAATCGCTCTGACGTACTTACTGCTTATCAAGCCTTCACTGCTATGATTTTCACTCAATGGCAATCTCGTATTAAAGTTTTTCGTTCTGATTGTGCCAAAGAGTACCTATCCTCTGCCATGCGCTCTATCATGTCCTCTCATGGGACTATCTTTCAACAGTCATGTCCCTACACTCATGAGCAAAATGGTGTTGCTGAACGCAAACATCGTCATATCCTCGATACTGCCCGATCAATGCTCATTTCTTACTCTGTTCCTCGTCGTTTCTGGGCTGAGGCTATTCTCACCGCGACTCATGCCATTAATATCACTCCATCTAGCTCTCTTTCCGGTGCTACTCCTTATAGTCGTGTTTATACTCATCCTCCCCGTTATGATCTAGTTCGCGTTTTTGGTTGTCGATGTTTTGTTTTTCTGCCATCTCACGAACGTGATAAATTGTCTCCCAGAGCAGTTTCTTGTGTTTATTTAGGAATTAGTTCAGAACATCGAGGTTATCGTTGTTATGATCCCGCAACTCGTCGAGTTCATATATCTCGTCATGTTCAGTTCGAAGAGGATTCTCCATATTATTCTACTTCTGATGACTTTAATTTCCTCCACTCTACCGATCATGCTTCCCCGTCCACTGCATCACCCACTTCTTCACCTCAATTTTCCTTTCGAGATCTCCCTGACATCTCTCCCTCTCCTTCTGTTGACTCTTCCTCACCTGAGTCTTCTCTTACACCATCTAATCCATATCCTGTGGACACAACTCTCACTCCAGAAAATACTGTTGATCTTCATGCACCTGCGCCAGCATCTCCCCCGCCTGAGGTTCCTCTTGCTCTTCGTCGAGGCAAACGCCCACATGTCATGCCTGCCCGGTATGCTTCTGTTACTTCTTATTCACCTATCTTTCATAACTTTCTTGCTGCCATTCATACTATTGTTGAGCCAAAGTCCTTCCAAGAGGCAGTTCAAATTCCAGAGTGGCGACAAGCTATGGCTGAGGAATTTCAAGCATTTCAGCAAACTCATACCTGGGATATTGTTCCCTGTCCTCCTGGGATCTCTCTTGTTGGCAGTAAATGGGTTTATAAGGTCAAGTTTCGTCCTGATGGCACCATTGAACGTCGAAAAGCTCGTTTAGTGGCTAGAGGTTTTACTCAGCAACAAGGTATTGATTATGAGGAGACCTTTGCTCCTGTTGCTCAGATGCCCACTGTGCGTACTCTCCTTGCGGTCGCTGCTGCTCATCGTTGGCCCTTATACCAGATGGATGTCAAAAATGCTTTTCTTCATGGCTCTTTATCAGAGACCGTATATATGCAACCGCCTCCAGGGTCAAATATTCCTCCGGGACATGTATGTCTCCTTCGTCGTGCTGTTTATGGTCTCAAACAGGCACCCCGCGCTTGGTTTGAGTGTTTTCGCGATGTTGTGCTCAAAGCGGGCTTTATAGAAAGTCATCAAGATGCTTCTCTGTTTGTTCGCACTACATCGCGTGGCAGGGTTTTATTACTCATCTATGTAGATGATATGATCATTACAGGTGATGATATGACAGGTATACAATACGCAAAATCTCAGTTGCAACAACAGTTCCACATGAAGGATCTTGGATCTCTTCGGTATTTCCTTGGTCTAGAAATTTCTCAAGGCCCGCGGGGTGTATTACTGTCTCAACAGAAGTATCTCTCAGATATTCTAAATCAAGCTGAGTTAACTGATAATACAACTGTCGATACTCCACTCCAGCAGAATGTCAAACTTTGCTCTACTGACGGTGAGCCTCTATCTGATCCTACCCGATATCGACATCTTGTTGGTCAGTTGGTCTATTTGTGCATCTCTCGACCAGATATCTCTCATGCTGTTGGTATTGTCAGTCAATTTGTTAGTGCCCCACGTTCTGTACACTATGCTGTCTTATTACGGATTCTTCGGTACCTCCGGGGTACTAGCACTCGCTCACTTTTGTTTCCTGCTACATCTAAGTTAGAGCTTTGTGCATATTCTGATGCTGATTGGGCTGGTGATCCAACTACCAGAAAGTCTACCACAGGTTATTGTATATTTCTTGGTGATTCCCTTATTTCCTGGCGAAGTAAGAAACAAGATGTTATTGCTCTTTCCAGTACTGAGGCAGAGTATCGTGCAATGTCCACAACAGCTAAAGAGATTATTCATCTTCGTCGCCTTCTCAGTGATTTCGGTATTTCTGTTACGACTCCTACTCCTCTCTACTGTGATAATAAGAGTGCCATCCAGATTGCTAATAATCCAGTATTTCATGAAAGGACCAAACATATTGAGATCGACGCTCATTTTGTCCGTCACCAAGTTATCAAGGACAAGACAATTCTACTTCCTCATGTTTCATCCGCTGACGAGCTTGCAGATTTCTTCACAAAGGCCTTACCTGTTCATCGGTTCCAGTTTCTTGTACGCAAACTCACTTTGTTTGATCCAACATGAGTTTGAAGGGGGCTGTTGATAATAGTGTATTGTAGTGGTTTTAGTCCCACATTGCTTGGGAGAACAAACCTCACACTCCTCTACTTGTATAAATATATGTGCACACTCAATATTCAATTCAAGGGAAATTTACCCAAGATTCTCTCTCTCTCTCTTACTTTAACATGACACATTGCTTGTAGCATTTTATAATCTCGTCGCTGAAATTTATTTTTATGCTTCACTTAAAGCATTCTAACCTTTTCCTTCATCATATCTCGATTTTGAACAGTGTCTTTCTTCGAGGTGAGGACTGCTACCATGTAAGTAAGATTGTCTAGTTGCATCTCCACGGACATCTTCATTAAAGATGTTTCAACTGCAGCAATGCCGCATCAAAATTCCTAACAAGCAGTTTCTAGTTTTTATACAGCGGAAGTTCTTCATATGTATAATTTAACATAAAACTACTTCAAGCATAAAGTTCTAGCTTTGGATGGCGACTCTTTCACAAGCTTATTTCCTTCTATTCAAAGTCTTCTACATAATTTGCTGAGGTACACCCAAATGGACATGCCAAGTAAGTAACAGGGGACTCGCAATCAAGAGTTCTCCAAGTATAAATGGAAAAACAGCATAACAGAACAAGTGTGTGAATATCTAAGGAAGAAATCATACACTTCAATCTTTGTTTAAATCAATCAATAAGTTAACATAAGATTATTAGAAAAGAAAGAAGGAGCACTAGAAAATTCGCACGTGGTTATGTTGATTCCTATTAACTCCCACACTCGAGTACACGACATATCCATTTCCTGAATTTTCATAATTTTTTTTTTAACAGAACTCCTGCATGCCATTGCAAGTCTGCAACATAGATCGCCACATCTGGCACATACTAAACCTTCATTGTTAATCTTAGTTCTTCACGTTACTTCCTCCACCGTTTGTCTTTCTTTGATTAACATTCATTGAGGTACTGCAGCTACTAGGTTTGTTAGAGAGCTTGAAGGGCATTACATCTGACTCTGTAACTTCAGAATGTGTACTGAAATTGTACACTAGTGGTGGCATCAAGCTTGTTAATAAAACAGATATGCAACAGCTTTCGCAGTTCACAGCACACTTCATAAGCAATATAGATGAAGAACAAGCATGCAATTATGCAGCTTTTGTACCGCTCGAGGAAAGGACCCCTTTGCAGGTAAGTGAACACTATTTCATCTCTCCTATGTAACTGTGAGATTTTGTTAAAAAATGGAACATCTTAATCTGCATTCTGATTTTCAGAGGGCAGAGTGGATAAAGTACTTGGCTACTTATACAAATTCAGAAGCCCGGGCTAATGTCGTCTATGATGCAGTAAGCCTAGTTGAATATAATGTCAATTATGCAGGAAACTTAATGTTCTATGTGAAATTCTACATTACATATTAGCTGGATTAGATCCATTTCAGGTTTTGGTTTCCTCCATGATGGTAAACTTTTGTATATTCCTTAAGCATAGAAGCATGAAAAAATTATTGTATTTCATAGAAACATTAGTGCATCTCATATTCTAAGTTGATATATCTTTGCAGGTTAAACAAAATTACTTGTGTCTCAGCAAAGCTGCCGCAAATCTCACAACCCGCTTCAAACCCGTAGTTGCTTGGGTGGGGTACTACGAGGTTAGACAACATTTAAAGTTGCAACACGTAAAATAACAAATATTTGGAGTCTTCATTTTGAATGTACGTTGGTCAGAATAAGAATTAAGGAGGAAAATAGGAAAATAAGAGTTTAAGCACTTTCATACCTGAGGCTCATCCCTTAACCATTTCTGCCTGTTTCTTCCTAGAGAATCAAGCAAATTCCTAACTTTAATCTTGACACAAGCTTTTCTTTCTTTATTTTGACGAATACTGACACCGACATAAAATCCATCTTTCGCCCTTCCTAATCTCACAGGGCATATGGTCTTTTGGTAAAGAAGGCTTCAAGCTGCAGGTTAGAATCTCCCCATGCTTCTTTACTTCTTTTCTTCACATGTTACATAAAGTTCGTATAGCAGTCTCACGTGCTTTTTTAGCAGTATGTGACTGATGCAGGAGGGGAGAACGTTGACGACACCATCAGCAACAACAGTTACAATGTTTCTAATTCGGATGAAATGGAGAACTTTTATGCCATACTTGGTGTAAGAATTGATCAAACTCTTCTCCCCTTCTGCTGCTTTAAGTGTCAGACATACAAAGTGTAGCGAAATTAAATGAATGTTGTTCTTGAATCAGACTGTGGATGTGGTGATCGATGAAACCTATGTTTTAGAGCCTGAAGAATACAGACTTTCAGCATTCCTTGAAAACATAGGTGTGGATGATAAGTCTTGTTTTGGATTTTTGACGAATCAGAGGCTGTGGAGATATGATAAGAGAGCCCAGAAGCCTGCCACCTTAGGTACAATGATTCCCCCCATTTCATTATATGTTGGTTTTTTTTTTTCTTTGGAGGGAAAAAAAGGCAAGAACCAATCGATTTTATTTATGATAGGAATTTATTTCAACGTTGGTTTAGGATTCTTCTGAATTCCAGTACCCTACACTTCAGAACCGTGAGCTAAGCACATCATCTCCACATTTCTCCAAGATGATTAATTGCAGACTACTTGTTTTAAACAACCTGAAATCTAAGTCTGCTGATGAGTTAATTACTTGCTTTTTCTAGGCAAGTTATTGTCTATTTTCTTCCTTAACGGAAACATTCAAATTTCAACATTCTGGAATTGATTAGGTTTTCTTATTAATTTAATTAAGCATCCATGTGTAAGAACTTCATATCTAAGTTTCAAGCTGAAAATGTGAATGTTTTGAGAGGATCAGTGCATGTATATTTGTTTTATCAGTTGATCCAATTTGGGTAGAATTCAGATACCTTCATGTAAATCCAAATCAAATTAGATCAAAATGATAATGCTGGTTTTATCTTTCATCACCTTCCCTTGTGATGGACACTGAACTGTAGTCATGAAATAAAATTCCAGCAGAAAGTGACCAAGCTATTAATCTTGTTTAAATTTTTCTCCATAACAGAATTAGCTTACCATCATCACAGATGTAATTGTTCTTGTTTGACTTTTATCTTAAGTTATCTTTCTTCCCAATCATTTTACTTGTGGATTCCTTATAGAGTTGTGCTCTAATGAGCTCCAATGAAATCATGAAAAAGAACCTTACTCTACGAAACAAATCTAACAGCAAAAGCATGATCATGAACCTGAAACCAAAGAAGCTTAAACAATGGGTCACATATCTTCATCTCAACCATTCATTCATCATTTTTGTCAACAAAAGTTATATCCAGATTCACCCATTCTTAAGCATGTTGATGTTATATTGACATCAAATGTGATAAAATCACTAGCACATATTAGGCCAGTACATACACATGTAATATTTTGTTATTATGCCTCTATTTGGGGTTTTCCCGCTCACTGAGTACTTTTCTCGGTTTAATTTTGATTTGGGGTTTCAAGATTGGTATGATAGAGCCATCTCTCAGCCTCAGTTAGTATTAGCAGATTTGATGGAGGCATTCTTTCCCACTGGAAACTACACCACAACTTTCTTCAGAAACCTGGCCAAGGTTTGTGCATCCTCTCGGAAAAAGGAAAAAAAAAACGCTCTCTACACTGACATTAAAAACCAACTCTATAGAAAGAATTAAAACCTGATGCATTTTTATTATCTCTATGATCAGGATGAGGGAGTGACAACAATAGGTCCCGAGATGTGTGACAGAAATACCTCCACTCCTATGGAGCCTACCATTCTCCCCTGCCAATCAGGAAATTAATTGGAAAAATGTTATAGATTTGTATGATCTTGAATGGTTAATTTTGTTTAGAAACCCAAGTAAGATACTGATAGATTGATTTGATTTGTCCAATTTAATTCTATTTGTGTGATCAGAATATCATTGTTCACATCATTTTGGTGTTTTGTCTGTTAGATTTTTTTTCTTGCTCGTTATACTCTTCCTATTGTGTGTATGCTATAAAGTTTAGAAGTTTAAAGTACGCTGAACTAGACAATTGTGCCTAAAAAAAGGATGAAATCTCCTCGTGTGATATAAGTCGGTGCTGTTGCAATACTTAGTGAAGAGGAACAAGGAAAGGAGACTTATTGACCTTCACACGATTCATCATGGTGTTAAATTTTTTATGCTTGTGTCATATATTTTGATGATTATCTTCCATATTTTCTTGATCTATTCACGCTCAATCGCAAACGATAACTAATGAAATGAAACGCCATCTCTCTGAAGTCACCATTACATTCTTAAGGGATCTTGAACTTTATCAGAGCTATTTGCTTCACAAACTCCAAATTTACATGACAGAGTTATTCCTAGCCAACAGTGATGATGACGCTTAAATGACAGAGCACTTATCTTTTGATGGGGATTTACCTGAGGTTATATCAGTAGAGAAGGAAAAGGCCTTTTTTTTTTTTGGTGTGTTAATAGATAAATCACCAGCTCTGATATAACAAGGAACTTAGCATATCTTCAACCCTACTTAGGATGGTATGGGAATTTGAGAACAAAATATCACAACAGGCGATATCAAAGACTATACAGCAAGTTAAGCAAAGGTAATGTCTTAAGAAGAAGCAAGCAAAGGATACATGGGGTGATTCTCACAGTATTCTCAGAACTGTATCTGGATGTTCTCGGAGGAAAAAAAACCAGATTGGTTTATAGTTTTCTTCCTTACTAGGAGTTAACAAGATTTTATTAAGTTTGTTTTTGGTTAGAAAAGGTAGAATCAACATTAGTCAGTCAGCAAAGAGAACAGTAGAGTTTAAAATTTCAATTCAAAATAAATATATATATATATATATCATCGTGATTTTAGAAGAATTCTCGATTCATTCGTCACAATCGCCCAGGAATACAATTCATTACATTCTGCAAAAATCAACCTATATTTACATATATCTTTTTCTTTTAATGTTAATCGACAATCAAACTACCCTGGATCCACTATATTTACAAAATCTTTAACCTGATGCCATTTTAACTAAAACAACAACTGTCCAAATATGTTCAAAACCCTAAATCTTGGAGTCCCAGGGAGCGAGAAGCTCCCTTCCTCATTTAGCATGCTAAAGACCATCTGATTTTTGTTTCTCTTGCTTTTCCTAACTTAGAAACACCTGTAACAAAACAAATAGAGCTATGGAAGTAAAACAAATCATCAAACATGAAGCTGATGAGGAAAGAAAGCAACCAAGGCTTTTGTAAGAGCAAAATTCTAACAATTCTCTAGAATAATGATAGCCCATAAAATCAACACTAGATATGAGATTGTTAAGATAATTCTTTCATATTAGTTGTTTTTACGTAACATGACAATTTTCCTCCGCACTCTTCGAAGCTTCTCCAAACAGAAACCAATACCGGAACAACCACATATCTCCTTCCTCCAATAAAATCAGCATATCTCTGATTTCAAATTTTTAAATTTGAGGATTAACCCGTCGTTTTGATGTATTCAAACAGCTTTATAATGCACGACAAAGATGTATACCCCTCAAGCGTCAGACTTTCAACACAGCGTAGACACATTTTTTTGGGAGGAAACGTTAAAACGTTATGTACCACATTAATCTCATTTGATTAAATAAAATCCCACAAACACTATTTCTAGAAAAAGCTGGTCACAAACTCACAACAAGCAATTTCAATTTTGTACCATGCTCTGCTTTAAAATTTTAGCCAGTTAACTAAATGTGATCAAACCCAAAGAAAAGGTTGCCAACTAGTACTTCAATATTAAGATCCACTCTTAATTTACTTAGTGATAGTTACGAACTGCAGCAATTTTTTAACGTCATAACTCTCTTCAACTTGCTTCCTCCTCGTACAACAAACCCACCGACAATGCTCAGGCCCTTCACAACTGTGGCACTACAACATATTATGATCCCCTAACTTCAAATGACCTTCACAAGATAGTTTATAGTTTGCCTTCACTTTTCATCAGTGTGTAGCCTTTGATCTTAAGGCTTTGATAGGTTGATTGAAGCCTTCTTTCTGGGGTGGAATAATTGTTGACTTGGGAAGGAAAAAGAAAAAGAAAAAGAAACGAAAGAGCATCTCCTAAAGAAAGGGCTGTAATTCCAGGCAATTCTCACTTCCTCCAGGGTGCTCAGACAAAGAAACTGATGTATCGCATGGTGGAAAGAATTAATAATAAACTGAGAATGAAACTCAAAGCCTACATCAAAAATTTGACCCTACTAAAGTTTAAACAAGAAAGAAATGTACTAATCCATGATGATTGAACGGAAAGAAATGTACTAATCCATGATGATTGAACGTAAGATTTTCCTGTTAGAATGATCTGTGAGGCAGTTGATATAAACAGTTGGTATAAGAATGAAACTTATCTGCATTGTATAACAAAGAGGCTGTTATTTCAAAGAAGCAACTTAAAATTTACTTTAAGAAAGAAAGATGAATTGGTGAACCTGGCTACACAAGATTACCAAGCTTTCAGAAATAAAACTTACAGGAATATCTAAGCACTGAGAATAGAGTGTGATCAAACCTCAGTATCTCATGGCAAATGAAGAAGAGCAATCCTCTCATCGAGTGGTAATTAGACCAGTTTCCATAAGCTTCATTGAGAAAAGTGATCATCTTAGTTGAAGTTGTCTGCACTATCATTATTCATATTCCACATCAAGTATCACGCACCTCCTTGCGTCCTGCAAGTTGTCTGCACCATCATTATTCTCCTTATTCCGGTTCCATGACAAGTATGACGGATCTCCTTGTATCCTGCAAAAAAGTTGTCCCAAGTTGAAGTTGAGTTCTAATCGATGCAGGGTGATTGTTGACCATCAATCAGAAGATTTTAGGATTTACCATAATAATTTTTATTTTATCAATATTTGATGTAATCTTTAATTTTAGAAAGGATTTTCTTAGGATTTTTACTTATTATTTTCTTTTAACTGACCACAAGGTTTTCTTAGGATTTGATTTCATGATTTAAGTATCTCTAAGGTTTTACTTACTTAGGGATGTTATTTAATTTCCTTTAGTTAGGATTTTATAGTAATTTGTCTCCTTTTATTAATATTTATTTAGAATTTCATTTAGCTTCTAGATTTGGTCTTTTCTCTTCTATAAATAAACATGTAATCTTCCATGAGGAATAGAGTAATCAATAAAATTTCTAAGTTTTGAAAATTTCTCTCTGGCATTTGAATTTGGCACGTGAAGTGTCATTTGTTGTGAAGAAGCCCTCGGGTACGAAGCTTAATTATTTATCCAAAACCCCTCCTTTATTCCTAACCCTTAGATCAAGATCCACCTCAATCTCAACCACTCAATTTATACCTTTCAATCAAATCCTCTCTTCAAAGGAACTCCTAATTAAAAGAACCCAAACCCGGGTACTGATCACAGATGGACCCTCATGTACTGTTCATCGGCGTAAATGCTAACTTAGTATTGCTCATCCACGTGAACAATAACTTTGTTACTATTTATTCACCCTCGCCTCGACATCCTAATCCCTTGCGCCTCTTCGTCGACTAGATCCTACCATGCTCGAGTTTCGGTGAGCCATGATGAACTCTTACAATCCCATCAAATATCCCATCACTGGATCTCACCCTGCCAAGCAGTAGACAATTTCAGTCCTCGAAGCTCCATCAAGGCCTTACAATGTCATTCGAGATTCCTTTAGCTCCCCACCATATCCGAACACAATTCTGAATACTTGCTGAAGAGTTCACAATCTACCCACTCCCGCTTTCAGTTCATGATCAGACAACAATAGACAGCAAAGTTCGCCCTACTGATAACATTATACTTTTGGATCAGATCCAGATAAGAACGGAAGGCATCATATTTGAGAGCCTCCTCTTTTGGATTGGAGCCTCTATCCCAGTCTACAACACTAATTTAATTCAAAGATCTAACATATTTTATTTAAGTGATGGTTAACATCATCGTAAAATATTCCAAAAGGGCATCCAAGATTAATTACCAGAACACCTTCAATTTCTCACCTATAGTCTTTATTCTACAAAATTTTGGTTCATGACTAGTGTTCTCAGTATACCATATTATTCATTGTTTATTCACTTTTATAGCTTGCATTCGAAGATTTAAATCTGAATGAATCCATCTTATATTATGTTTTCTCCCTGTCATTGTCACTTTGCATATGAATAATGAAGAAACCAATTTCACACGAATCATAAATACTTTTGCCAAGTGCACATTTAACTTTTAAAGTTTAGTACAGGATTTCACTACTTTCTTCAAGTCCTGATAACTAGCTTGGGGATAAAGAGTTAAGTCTTAGTTCGAACTTCAAAGTCTACCACAAAACTTTCTTCATTGAAGAAATAATAACACAAACTTCCTCTAAAATGGGTTAAGTAATATACTCTCACACGCTGTTTAAATAGCACAAGTTTCAACCTATATATGCATTTTTAGAAAATGGACGTGATTATTTTGATAGTCGACCAAAAGAAAATTGAAGTTTTGGTGATCTCCATAGTTCTTTAAGAATTCAATATGACAGTATACTAACATTTTGGTAGGTAAAAGAAATATCAAGTGACTTCATAATGACCTGCAAATTTAATGACATCTATTAAACCAAACTTGGCAGCAGCTGATTAAAGGTTATATATATATATAACCTTTAATCAGCTGCTGCCAAGTTTGGTTTAATAGATGTCATTAAATTTGCAGGTCATTATGAAGTCACTTGATATTTCTTTTACCTACCAAAATGTTAGTATACTGTCATATTGAATTCTTAAAGAACTATGGAGATCACCAAAACTTCAATTTTCTTTTGGTCGACTATCAAAATAATCACGTCCATTTTCTAAAAATGCATATATAGGTTGAAACTTGTGCTATTTAAACAGCGTGTGAGAGTATATTACTTAACCCATTTTAGAGGAAGTTTGTGTTATTATTTCTTCAATGAAGAAAGTTTTGTGGTAGACTTTGAAGTTCGAACTAAGACTTAACTCTTTATCCCCAAGCTAGTTATCAGGACTTGAAGAAAGTAGTGAAATCCTGTACTAAACTTTAAAAGTTAAATGTGCACTTGGCAAAAGTATTTATGATTCGTGTGAAATTGGTTTCTTCATTATTCATATGCAAAGTGACAATGACAGGGAGAAAACATAATATAAGATGGATTCATTCAGATTTAAATCTTCGAATGCAAGCTATAAAAGTGAATAAACAATGAATAATATGGTATACTGAGAACACTAGTCATGAACCAAAATTTTGTAGAATAAAGACTATAGGTGAGAAATTGACACCAACACAAAGATAGGCTACTCCAAGAAATTCATTTTTTCCACCTATCCAAGATGTAGTTGAAAGGACCAGTCTTTTCTTCCCATCAAAGTTATATACATTATAATGATTCTGTATTACAACTGTTATCATCTCGTTTGCTGCAAGGTCCACCTCAATCCTCCCATACAGTTTTCTGAATGTAGGTAGCGCTGCAGTTCGCATCCAAACAATGAGATCCTCTTGTTCATTTAACTGGCCAATGGTATACGATGTCAACATATAATAAAAGAAAACTATTGTAGGCAAATAAACTACAATACGAATTAGGCTAGTCCTTACAGGAACAGAGGCATTGAGTGTGGCGCCTCCAATCAAGTCTCCTCTCTGGAAGTTCTTGGGATAAATGCTACTTCCGAACTTGTGCTCCTTGTCGCTTTTCCAAGCTATATCCTTCTTATTTACCTCCAAACTCTTGTTATTAACAGAAAATTTGTATGTATCATTGAACAAGCTCCAAGCAATGAGACCACAAGGAACTATAGGATCTCCAGATGCAGTGGTAGCTTCAGGATCACAACTTTTAATCACATTTTCAGGTTCAATCTCCTTACCCACCAATTGTCTATCATTTTGGCTCTTCACATACCTAAAACAAAATGTGGATAAGTTCCTTAAAGCAACAGATCCTATCTAAATGTTTTACACGTACATATACAAGCAATGATAATGGAACAAAAGTAAAGGAAAAGGTCCTGGCCAAAAGAAAGAGTAAGTAGTCCCTTTAGATATCCATAAAACTTATCATAACTTTTGAGTTCATCTGCAGTGGCAGGTGGCCTCATGATTGATAATTTTAGATCAAATACATAATATTGTGATAAGAATTGTAGGAGTTCTGATGGGGATAGGTTTTATCCCTGATGGGTTAAAGCGACCCAATTAATGAGTATAAATTAACAATCTTTAGTCTTCCAATATGGGTATAAATTCAGAGGGAATAATATCTTGAATTCAAAAAAACACAACTGCTTAAGAGAAGATAATACTAAAATCTGTTTCAGCAGTTTTACGAGAACATAATAATAAGCGATAAAAAGAAAATTCAACGCTACCTCCTTTTACAAAAATTCCTGTTTGTCTATTTTATCAAGGACCTGGGCAGCTCCGACAAGTAATAAAAGTAGATATTAATAAAATAAACATATATTAGGAACATGAATGGAATGATATTTATACTGGCTAAGTTTACATACCGCCTATGACTTTGATAGAAGTTATCGAGCTGATAATAAACGTAGATAGGGCTTTTCATGAGCTTTGGCACCTAAAAGAAAATTTGCACGGCATCATAAGGGTGAACTATCATATAGATCAAGTGTATTGAGCGAATGCTATTAACAATATCAGTTGACAATTTGACATGAATGAATCATCTAGCAAAAGAATACTCACAGTTAAATTTCTGATACATGTTTTGTTAGTCCCATCACTTTGAATGTATTGAACTTTATCCTCGCTATGAATGCAATCAGCATCATACCGATCTACAATTTCAACCACCTATGTCAAATTTAAGTCAATAGCCAAAAGAAACGTCAGTGTCTACTAAAAGGAACCCATTGGGTAAACAATTATCAGTACTTGTTCAGATGCATAGAAGGAAGCCAGCCCGATTGGAATGAAGATAATGCCAACTAGAGCCAATGCAGATGTAACCTGCAAATAGAAAGACATAAAATTAAAATATAAAAGTACAACTTTGAATATTTTAACACAGAATAAGAATGTCATGCTTACAATTGCTGGTGTTAGTATTGGTTTGCAAGCAGGAAGCTCTTGTTGTGTTAACTTAGAATCTGCGTACAAAATGAAACATAACAAGGCACCCATAAAGGAAAAGAAAAACTAAGGCTATTTTTGGACTCAGATTCAACCAATACATGATAAAATAAAGTGTCATTTGACACATTGAAAAACTAAGGTTAGTTAATTGCATGGACTCTAGGAGATCTCATTTGGGGTGCACAGAATACATGAGCTGTCATCTACTTTTCAAACGGAAACACATGTTTACCATCTGGTTTCGACTCCAAAGTTTAGCCGGTATACGCCTACTTGCTAGCATTTAGACCTCAAACAACTCTTCAACATCTTAAAATGGCACAGATGAACTGAAGGGTTGGACGTTAGAACTTGGAAGGCTAATACAAAGAATATTTTTTCACTTGAAAAAACACAAAAAGTATCTTCACAGTCAAATTTCTTTACCACTCCCTCATCAACAAGTTTCATGTTATATCTTCCCTCCATCAAGTAATGGTGCAACCACTCCACTCAAGGTGAAGATTCACATATGACGACCACTAAATGGTTAAAAGCTCCTACCGATTTGCCAAGGGGAGTTTTTTTTTTTAAATAACATATTGCCAAGAGAACTTGGCTACGTAACCCTACATGCCCCTTTTGTAACAATAATCCTAAGTCCGATCATCACTTCTTTCACATTACTTTTAGACTCTCATTATCTGGGATCAAATCCTTGCTCTACTGCGCCAATCCACTACCATCATTGACCAAAACACTTTGGGACTCTTGGTATCAGATCATCTCATACATCTCCTTCATCAAGATTGCATCATCATTGCTTATTACTTCTACATTTGAAATGACTGGGAAGAGAAAGTTTACGAGTAAACTAAGAGATGCAAACATTCTTCGTTGCCTGATTGTACGATTATCTTCCTAATGGTATGACAACATTGTCTTACACCAGAGTAGATGTTTGACTTAGAGCTGAGCAAAAACTTGATTAAAAAACCTATATTAGTATGTTTCGTTTTTCTACATTTTTTAGAGTGTTTTTTTCCAGGGAACTACCCCTGACTTTGGCTTTATTTCATTTTACCACCCTTAATTATCCAAATTTTAGAAGACTGCCCCAGTACACCATTCCGTTAACATAGAACCATCCATGCCCTTTTCAATCCAATTTTGACCATTTTAGCCCCACATAAGTTTAATTTTGTTGAACCTTTGGGATCCAAGTTAAAATACTAGAAATTATTCTCATTTTAACTTTGATACCCAAAATTTATTTGGACAAATATACAACTCACATTTTTCATTTTAATACCCCCACAATTCTTTTCTGCCCAAAAAAATACCACAAAGTTCGACAATATTTTACTTTGATACCCAAAAAATTTAGCTTAATTTTAATACTTCAAGTTTCAACAAAACTTAATTTTGATACTCAAAGTTCAACAAAATTTAACTTTGATACCCAAAATCAAACAAAATGTGGGAATAAACCGTCAAACTATAAAACTTTGTATGGAAATTTGGATGGAAAAGGTAATGGGTGGTTATATGTTAACAGAATGGTAGAGAGGAAGGTTTTCTGAAATTTGAGTAATTAAGAGTAGTATCGTGTGAAATATGGCCTAAGTTAGGGGTGGTTACCTTGTGCGGGGTGAAGAAATGCAGTAAATAGTAAAGGATCAGCCAGAAAGTCTGGCGGTCGACCGTCGCGGTCGACCGCGAACGTGCACGAAGGGCAGTAGGATTCGGAGCTGATGGCGGTCGACCGTCGCGGTCGATCGCGCGATGTTTTCTGGGCTAGGCTTCGGTTTTTTAACCCGATTCGTTTTCTAAGTTATATATATCCCTAAACCTGATTTGTCAGGGAGAACTCAATGACGATTTTGAGCAGCCTTGAAGAGAGAATTGTTGCATCCAATTGTGGGAGAGTTGTGAGAGATCTAGAGCTTTGTTTTAGGGTTTGATCGGTGAGATTTGTAACTCTATTTGTATTCTCTTGATTTCTTATAGTAAGAACTCCCCCCCTCCTTGCCCCGTGGACGTAGGCAAGTTGCCGAACCACGTAAATCTCTTGTGTTATTTGGTGATTGTGCTTGTTTATTTGGTTGTGATCTCTCTTGTTCGGATTGTGTGTTTCGACCGCTTCCGCGCCGCGCACAACACGGGGAAAACCTTATATCCTCCTACTGTACTTCTTCCTCTTCTTCACCTTCTTCCTCTTGTTCACCTTTAGTTGCATATTTTCAGCTCTAATATCCATGGACCGGGTACTACGCCCATCATTAATAAGCCAATATCAGAAAAGTTTTAGATCAGAAGTATTTTGGTCGGCGAAAAGAGCCAAAATTTATACAAATCTACAATTCCTATGAGCTTTTCTCCCCAAAGATGGGTTCCTAAACCATCAAATTTATGGGGCATAAGGTGGCATGTAAATAGTCAATCTAATACATAAACTCAATCTAAAGTCTAATACATAAACTCAATCTAAACAGTCATGGGTATGCAAGACAATGCACACAGAGATTTGCAACCACGTTCTAAAATAAAATGTTAGAAAGGAAAGAAAAATAAATAAATGGCATGTAAATTGGAAAGAAGAGGAGAAAGAATGTAACATACATCTAGGTTTCTTGGTATTCTTCCTCTTCTTCAGCGTGCGGGAATCTGAGGATTCATCATTTATTTGAACGAAAGAAGAACTCTTTGCCAGATTCATGCCAATGAATCAAAGAAATTTAAAAGAAGAGAAAGGAAAGGAAAAGAAAGAAGAAGAAATGATGATGTTGTAATTGAGTGGAGGAAAATGCAGCGTCATTGTACGCGAGAAATTTTGGGGCTTTTCTTGGAAATTGGGCTTTGTTTCAACCATCACGCAGGTGAGCTACATCTTTCTACTACTAACACAAGTTTGAATTAAAAAAAAAAAAAAATTCTCTAAGGACCCAAAATATGGAACCAATAGAGGGGACAAGTGGAGTGTCCCCTCCTATTGGATAATGAGTATGATGGCCAACTCATTATCCAACAGGAGGGGGACACCTTACTTGTCCCCTCTATTGGTCCTATATTTTGGGTCCTGTAGCAAAGCTCTAAAAACAAAGACTAAATTGCACTTAAATGCCCTGTACACCAAACTCGCATATTAATGCTCTCTATTTTAAAACTCTCCGCTTAAATACTCCCGAATATTTAAATATTACGGATAAATGCTCTAACATTTTTAAATATTGCACGCTAATACCTTCTTGTTTACCCTGGCATATAAATACTGTCAGTTTGTAAATGGACTCATTCTAAAAGTTGTATTTACTCTCCTCAAGATGTGATATTTTTTAATGCATATAGAAAAGTGAAAGTCTTCCAGGACATTTTAAACTTTGGGTCATAAATATTTTGGGACATTTAAGTGTACAATTCTAAAATAAATAGAATTAAAGTGAAATGTGGGTGAAACTAAGGGCATTTAAGTGCAATTTATAGTGTCTTTTCCATTATGGACATCTTTAATTTTCAAGTAAATTACACATAACTTCCCTCATCTATACATTTAGTAGTATTTAACATCCCTCAACTAAATTATTAGAAATAACGCTATTGGATTGTCATTTTTAAAAGGATAAATTGCATATAACATCCGTCTCCCTCGCGAATTGATAATAGTTATAAATTAGTTGAGGGGTGTTAAGGTATTGTTTGTTAGACGAGGAGGATTATGTGCAATTTACCCTTAACTTTCGGATGTTTGGCTTGGTCCACTTGAAAAGAGAGAGTAATAGGTGTAAGAATTTCTTATAGCATGATTAACAGAATTTAACACTCGTTTACATACTAAAACGAGATTGAATAAATGGTACATACATTCTTCCATTGTTGAATGTAATGAACACCGAATTACCAATAATTGTTCTTCCTTGTCCACTCCACAACACAAAACCGAGATGATGGATTATTATCACAGGACTTAATTATTGATCATACATTGTGTGTGGACAAGTGACTCTCTTTATAGAACTCCTACCATTAAAGAGTTCATAACTACCCAATATAGTTATGTCTTAAAAAACCACCAAAGTAGTTAATTCTAAAATTCAAATTCAAATTGATATTAATGTCACATAATAGAATATGAAGAGTCAAAATTTTAACATTCTCCCACTAGACTCAAATATTCTATTAATGTTCTAATGACATAACAATAATGCAACTATACTTTGTGGCCAAAGAATTTGTTGCAATTGAATAAGAAAAATAATTAATTCTTGAGAAGCTTCATATATATATATTTATGTACATATAACTTTGAGTCACACTTTATTAATTCTTGAGAAGCTTCATATATATATATTTATGTACATATAACTTTGAGTCACACTTTATACGCTTAAATAGCAATAAACACATGACTTACACTTTATACGCTTAAATAGCAATAAACACATGACTTAAACATAATGTGTACACTTTATTTGTCATGAACATAAAACACTAACAACATCAAATAAGTCTAGACATAAAACATAACAAACACCTAAACATTAACGAGCCTCATGTTGCTTACATGGTCCTTAAATGGAATGACTGGTATAACTTTAGTCAATGAGTCAGCAATCATGAACTTTGTTCTTGTGTGTTCAAACTTAACAATATGATCACGAACTCGACCTTTAGCCTTAAGGAACTTGATGTCAATGTATTTCAATCGACTTTCGCTTTTATTAATGCAACCACAGAGATGTTGTCACAATAATAAGCAATGGTTTTGAAATGAGATCAACCACTTTAAGCTCCACAACAAAATCCCTCAACCATGATGCCTGTGATGATGGGTTTTGAAATGAGATCAACCACTTTAAGCTCCACAACAAAATCCCTCAACCATGATGCCTGTGATGATGCCTCGTAGCAACCTATAAATTCTAAGCTCCACAACAAAATCCCTCAACCATGATGCCTGTGATGATGCCTCGTAGCAACCTATAAATTCTGCTTCCATAGTCGAGGATGCAACTAAACTTTGTTTCATACTTTTCCAGGATATCGCACCTCCAGCAAGTAGAAAAATATATCCTGAAGTGGATTTACTTGTATCCTTGCAAGCAGCCCAATCAGAATCCGTAAATCCTATCATTTCCAAATGATCTGAATAACTATATGTGAGCCTATAATCTTTAGTCCCTTTTAGGTATCTCATTATCTTCTTGGCAGCTTTCCAATGAGCCATTCCAGGATTATTTTTATATCTTCCCAACATTCCTACTGAAAAAGCAAGATCTGGTATTGTACAAACAACCACATACATAAGACTTTTAACTGCATAAGCATATGGAATGTTTTCCATTTCTTTTAGTTTTGAAACATTGCTTGGACATTGGTCCAAACCAAACTTGTCACCTTTGGAAATAGGTGCATCTTTAGGTGCACAATTCTGCATTAAATCTATCCAAAACTTTGTTAATGTAAGCCTTTTGAGATAATCCCAATTTTCTTAGGGATCTATCTCTGTGAATCTGTATTCCAATGACATAAGAGGCTTCACCTAAATCCTTCATTTTAAAGTTTTGTGACAAGTAACTTTTAGTCTCATATAATAGGTCATTATCATTACAAGCAAGTAATATATCATCAACATATAGGACTAATATAACAAATTTACTCGCACTGATTTTAACATATATGTATTCATCCACAATATTCTCTATAAAACCAAATTTAAGAATTATATTGTGGAATTTTATATGCCATTGACGAGAAGCTTGTTTAAGCTCATATAATGATTTATTTAGCTTAAAATATAATTGTGTTAGACCCTAATGCCACTAGGAAAGAACCCTGGAGGGGGGGTGAATAGGGTTTATGCTAATCTAATCCGATTTAAATGCCAATTAAAACTTATTTAAGAATTATTCTTGCAAGATAGATATACAATATGATATGAGCAAGAATATGCTAAAACTTATTTAAGAATTATTCTTGCAAGATAGATATACAATATGATATGAGCAAGAATATGCAATATAAACAAAGTGATATATCCTAGCAATGAGATATATGGTGAAATATACAAGGATATATAAATAACACAAGGGTAAACAATTTATAAACAAGATAAATAAGATAGTGAGCAATATAAACAATGAGCAATTGACAAATGCGATATAATGATAAACACAAAAGAAAGTGCGCCAATGCAATCACAAACAAACGATATGTTCACGAGGTTTGGTCCCAAACACAAAAATAAGTGCGCCAATGCAAACTCAAACAAACGATATGATCACGGAGTTCGGTCCCCACGATCTACGTCTCCACTCCTCACCTCAAGGAGATCTCCACTATCACATCGGGTTTTCTACGCTTACCCAAAAAACGTTTACACCTCACAATATGATTTTCTAGCTAACCAAAAACTCTAAAATCCACACTCACAATGTAACTACACTAACTACCACCTTAAGTGTTGGTCTCTAGCCCGTGTCTCTCTCAAGTGTTAGGAATTATAACCTACCTCTAGGCATTATCACCTACCCCACTCCTCTTGGGACGACCCCGTCTCTCACCACACACTCCTCTTGGTATACTAGTGTATTACAAGGTGAACCTCACAATTTAAGCACAAATACAAAGTGTTTGTTCTTTACAATGGATGAGAATGAATTGTAAGCTCACTCTCTAAGTCACACAAACCCACAACCCAATTACACAATGTATGCAAATACAATAAGCTCAATGGTTGTGTGTGTACAAAGAGATAAAATAAATCAAAACTAAACTCAATATAATTCTAGCTTAATAACAATGATAATCAAATATATAAAAGAGCTAGAAATAGAGTTTAGAAAACTTCTCAATGGATCAAGAGACAGAGGGAGAATAGTTGGATGCTCAAACTCCAATAGATGATCTCCTCAAGCTCTTGTAGAATTGATTTCACAAACTCAGACCCTCAATTGCTTAAAAGCTTCTAAACAAACATTAAACAAACTTAAATCCTTGTTTAAAACTCTTTTAAACTTGTTTAAAACTCTTTTAAACTTGTTTAAAATATTTTATTAGTTATTTTGAAAGATGAGAGCAAGGGTGTATTTATAGAAACCCAAAACATCAGCAGAAACCCAAGCAAAATGACCAAAAAACCAAATCCCACAAAATCTGGATAGTACAGAAATATAGCCGTTATTGATCGACGGTCGATCACAGAGCCACTGGCGGTCGACCGTGAGCCAAAACTAACCGTTGGGAAACAGGTTGAAAAAGTCGCGGTCGACCGCAGAACCACATCCGGTCGACCGTGGGAAGTTCTGAAAAATAATCTCAAGTCTCTAGAAAATTATCGGTCGACCGCAGCACCAAGAGCGGTCGACCGTGAGCTGTTGAAAAACAGAGCATAGTCTCTGGACTATCGGCGGTCGACCGTAGCGCTAAGGGCGGTCGACCGCAAACTGATGTTTCAGATATCCAGGTTTAAAATGAAATGCTAATTTTTAAACTGTCTTTAAAATAGCAAATAAATTCAGAAAAATATAAAACTTTGGTAAATGATTATAGACATGATAATACATATGTTACAAAAATTGGTTTTCAAAAAGGACCTCCCAAATAAAAAATATCATCATTTTTCAAAATAGTCCAAAACATAAAAATGTAAACATATGAGTTTTGACATTTTAGCTTAACCATATTTTGAAACATTACAAAATGCTTATATAGACTTAGTAAAAGATGTATATGATTATTGTTAAGTCCAAAAACCAATAAAACAATATTTTTACAGAATTGCATATTCTATGCAATATAAATTCAAACATAATAGAGTATGAAACATATGAGGATGTATATGAATATATATTTGTTTCATATCTATGAAATTAAACCAAAACACAATAATA